TTTTTTTTTTATTTCTAATACGTTTTTAAAAACTACTATTGTGAAAACATATATTTTTATTAGGAGCTCTTGTGGACTAGTGGTAAGAAGTTGTGCTGCAATCCCAAAGGATTTGTGGTTTGAATCCACCAGCTGCTCCATGAGAGGATAGGCAGTCTCCTCTTCTACTATTAACTGCCTGTGAAAACCTGCTGGAGGGTCAGCTTTGGGTTGCTTCTGACTTGGTACACAACAACAACAGTGTTGTATTAGGTAACCTAAGAGGCTTAGGACGTTATTGACTATGTAGAGGCATATGACTGTGTGGATCATTAACAAGTTGTGGCTGACATTGAGAAGAATGGGAATCCCAGAGCACTTGATTGTGCTCATGAGGAACCTATACCTGAACCAGAAGGCAGTTGTTTCAAATTGGGAAGGGAGTATATCAGGCTTATATTCACTCTCCATACCTATTCAGTCTGTATACTGAGCAAACTGTCTGAGAATCTGGACTCTATGAAGAGGAGTGGGTTTGAGGGAGACTCATCAATAATAACCTGCGTTATGCAGATGACACAACCTTGCTTGCTGAAAGTGAGGAGAACTGGAAGTACTTGTTGCAGAAGAATGCAGCCTTTGGTATGGATTACATCTCCGTGTCAAGAAAACAAAGATTCTTACCACTAGACTTATAGGCAGTGTCATGATGGATGGAGAAGAAAGTGAGACTGTCAACAGCTTTATCTTGCTTCGATCCACAGTTAGCACCCTTGGTATGAGCAGTCAGGAAATTAGGAGACACGTTGCACTGAGAAAACCTGCAGTTAGGGACTTCGCCACATTATTAAAGAGTAATGAGGTCAGTTTGAGGACTAACATGCTTCTGATTCAGGCCATGGTTTTTCCAGTTACTTGCTCTGCATCTGAGAGCTGGACAATGACTAGAGATGACAGAAAAAGAATTGATGTCTTTGAGCTGTGATATTGGAAAGGAGCACGGAACATCCTGTGGATGGCCAAGAGAACAAACATGTCTTGGAGAAGGTGCAGCTGGAGTGCTCTTTGGAGGCAAGAATGAAGCTTTGCCTCACATACTTTGGGCATGTTGCTAGTGAGGGACTACTTCTTGGAGAAGGACCGGATGCTGGAAAGGGTGGAGGGTAGGCAAGGGAGAGGAAGACCCTCGAGTAGGTAGTGAATACTGCAGTGGGATCTTGTGTGTCTTATGTGTCAGGAAGTGAGGATGGTGCAGGATAGAACAAGGTTCAGATCTTTTGTTCATAAGGTCACTATGAGTCATACTCGACTCAGCAGCACCTAACAACAGTGGTTTAGGGATAAGGAGTTGCATTGCCAGCTCAAAGGGACATGGTTTGAATTGAACTATTGTTCCACAGAAGAAAGGTGGGCAGTCTCCATCTCTGTAGTATATAGCCTCTGAAAACCCACTCGACGTCCATAATAACATTGAGTTATATTGAATTGTATGAAATTACTTAATATCTTTTGGAGGTTTTCCATTGACTTATTAGTTGTTGTTGCAGTTGTTATGTACCTTTGAGTAAGAACCAACTCATAGCTGACCCTTCAGTGGGTTTTCAGAGGCAGCAAATCACACAAAAGGTGATTGCCCCTTTTTCTCCCACAGCACAGCTGATATATTCAAGCCAAGTGCTTTTGAATTGGCAGTGTGATTCCTTATCATTAGGCCACCAGAGTTATTAGTATAAATGAATTATTTTTTAAAATATTGGTGATTTTGAACTTCTGGAATAATTCCTATTTGGCCTTTTTTTTCCTTTTAATATACACATACATTCTCTTTACTAATTTAATTTTTTTAATTACATAGTTACCACTGAGAATTACATATAATTTCTTTTCAGAGACTGTTTGGTATCAGGCATGCTAGAAAATGGTTTGGGAAACTTCCTATCTTTTAGAAAGCTTTGGATTAGATTCAGTAGTAACCTTAGTTATGTAGAAGTACTCTACTGGAGATGGCTTTCACAAACAGAAATGTATTCTTTTACAATTTAGGAAGTCAGAAGTCCAAAGTTAGGGTGCTGGTTGTGGGGAAAGCATTTCTTTCTATGACTCCTGGTTCTAGGAGTTTTCAGGACAGAAGCCTGGGTTCAAAGGATGTTGCTTTGCTCTGATTCAGATAACTTCTTTCTCTTAGGAACACTGTCTTAGTTAATTGTGTTCTGCTATAACAGAAATACCACAAATGGGTGACATTAACAAGTAGAAATTACTTTCTCACATTTTAGGGGGCCAGAACTCTAACTTCAGTATACTAGCCATAAGGAGAGGCTTGCTTTCTTTGTTAGCTCTCAGAACTTCTGTTGTTGGGGCAGGCTTCATGTGACCTGGCATTTATCTTCCTCCATCTCTTCTCATTTCATCTTGTATCTCAGAAGATTGATTCAAGACATACCCTGCACTAATCCTGTCTCATTAACTAATAAAGACAGCACATTCCCAGATGGGATCATAACCACAGACGTAGAAGTTAGAATTTACAGTACATATTTTTAGGAGTCATAATTCATTCCATTACAGAATATCCATTATTGTCAAATGGTGGTGTACTAATTAATGGGGTTTTTTTATGTTATTATTTTAGGCAATACTTCTCCAGATCAGAAAGAGCCAACACCTTTCATCATCGAATGGATCCCAGATATTCTTCCTCAATCCAAGATTGGTGAGCTTCGCATCAAGTTTGAGTATGGTCACCACCGCAATGGCCATGTGGCGGAATACCAGGACCAGCGGCCCCACTTGGACCAGCCCTTGGAACTGGCCCCTCTAACCACCATCACGTTCCCCTGAGACAAAACAAAAGCATTTTATGCTGCTAAATTTGCACATCCCCATCCTTTGGTAACTTTAAATACCAGTTACACACTGAGATGGCCAGTTTCCTTAGTAAACATTCTTCTCTAAGAACCAGTTTCTCAAAGCGTTGAGATGGTTTCTGATAGAGACAGGCTTTGTAGGTAGCCTTTGTGATGCTGCTGGTGTATAGTTATCCTCATAAATCAGGCAGTATTTCTGGTAGAGTTTTAGAGGGGGAAACCGACTCACTTTCCCCCTTCTGGCCTCATCTTTAGAATTTCTTTCAACTTTTTCTAACTTTTTCCAAGAAGTCAGGAGTACTCAGCCTTACGCCAACAGTGTTGGAAAGTCAGCAATACCCTGATTAGGGCAGAATGTTATGGACTGTCCTGGCATAGTGAAGCATGCCCTTTATTTTGTTTTCAAATAAAGTATCAGTACTTTTTCCAAATTAAATCTCATATTGTGCTATTTATAAAATTACAAATTTTATAAGTTCACAGTGAAATGGGGGAAAATGATCCAAGTGTCAGGAGATATATAAATGACATGGTGGAGACATCTGATCCCCCCCTTCACAGTATTATGAAATGGGAAAAGAGAATCACCATCCAGCCCAAGACTGATCCTGTGAAGGAGAAGTCAGACATACCTTCTCTTTCCAGTCTCTTTACCTTTACTGACACCAGCTGTCACTGCTGTGGCACTCTTTACCCCTCTACAAGGTAGAGTTACCACATGGAACTCACACACAGTAGTCACCATTATGAGTTTTAGTAGGGAAGTTGTTGTTACTAGGTGCTGTCAGGTCAACTATGATTCATAGCAACTCTGTGAACAACAGATCTGAACTTAGTTAGGCCAGTCCTATGTCATTTTCAGTATCTCTGTCATATACAAGCCCTCAGTGTAACTCATTCACTATGCCGTTCCATTTTGAGGGCCTTCCTCTCTTTCTAACCTTCCACCTTTCCCTCCCTTATGTCTTTTTCTAGGAACTGACTCCTCCTGATAACAGGTTACAATTCAGGATCAGGAATGATTGAGGATACAGTTCTTCAGTCAGAATACCTGTTTTCCACCCATGCTGCATACTTCTCTCTGTCCCACAACCCCTTAACCCTCTTCTCCTTGGTCCCTGACCTGCTCAGGCAAGTGTTAAGAAGACCTGTAGCTTACCCTTAAGTGCGTGGAGGCATCTCACTCTGCCAGGAGACCTCTTACCTGAAGTACTCAGCTTTTTTAGCCCAGGAAGCCCCCCAACGTTTCTTGGAAGTCTCTTTATTTCTGCTTTCCCTGCTACTGCCATTCCTCTGCTGCTGTTTCTTGCCGCCTCTTACTGTCTGCACAGTCACAGCTTGTTCTGTCTCCTTGTTCTAGGGGTTCTCAGCCTAGTAATTCTGGGTCCACATTCCTGGGTCTTTTTTCTGGGTGTTTGTGAGGTCCCACTCTCCATTTCTTGGATGATTTATTTATGGAATGGCAAAACAGATCCACCCTCTTGCTAGGGGTTCCACTCTCACACAGGTGCCATGCACCTCATTTCTTAGGACCATATAAGGTAATTCACTGCTCTGAAAGGGGGTACTGACAGTTCAAACTAGTGAATACACAGTTGTTTATTCACTTGATAATTGTAAAAAGAGTGCAGGCAGCCTGGAGACAGCCAAGTCTGTCTTCTACTAACTCCCTCCACAAGGGGAAGTGTCCCCATCAACAATGGACAAGGAATAAGGATAACAGAAGAAGAATTGATGCCTTTGAGCTCTGGTGTTGGAGAAGAGTATTGAATGTCCCCTGGACTGCCAAAAGAACAAACAGATGTATCTTGGAAAGGGTGCAGCCAGAGTGCTCTTTGGAAGCAAAGATGATGAGGCTTTGCCTCACATACTTCAGACATGTTGGTGGGAGGGGCTACTCCTTGAGAGGGACGTGATGTTGGAAGGGTAGAGGGTCAGCGAAGGAGAGGAGGAAGTCAGATGGATTGACAACAGTGACTGCCACAGTGGGCTCTGGTGTCTCGCGAAGTGTGATGATGGTACAGGATAGGACAGGGATCTGTTGTTCATAGGGTCACTATGAGTTGTACTCAACTAGATGGCAACAACAGAATAAATTCTGAGAAAACTTTAAAGAAAGTTCCCTAATCTTAACAATTATGGTATCTTCCCTAAGTCCTCCAGCAAGCTTGGGTGAAGGCTTCTGGCTCTGTCTTCATGGGGCAGCCATCCCAAGTCTGTTCTCTCTACTGAGACTCCTGTTGGTCTAGGTGGCATAGGAATCTGACCCCAAAGCACATATGCTACATTCCCTACTTTCTGTTCCTTGCTGATGCTGAGATTCCTCATTTCTGCCACTGAATCGGCTCAGTTTAAAGCTAGTAGAATGGCAAGACTAGGCAATCCCCTTGTGGATAGACTAACAAACCTTATTTGCGTGTTCCTTCCTACCCATGTGGTAAAGTCAAAGCCAATGGCTAAGAAAGTAATTTTCTTTTTTCTTTTTTTTTTACCCTACAACAATTAATTTGTTCCTTCTCTTGTCCCCAAAAGTTTAATAGCTGGTAAAACTTAGTTCCTATTTCTGAGTTTTGTGATATGCACAGAATGGAGATACTGAAAGACAGAAAATTGGAAGCCTGTCTTCAGAGAGAAAAGAAGGAAGAGAATATTCCTACATGCCTAGCATGTGATGGATTCTCTTCTTTAAATTGTTAGCAGTATTTTTTCTTATTTAATTATCATTATTATTTTAAAGGTAGAATTTAACTTTTAAGTTACAAAGTTCAAGAAGATAGCATTAAAAAATTTAATTCAAGAGTAAATTGTGCTCTCCACTCTTTGATATAAATTTGATTCTGCTTTGATATTAATGTCTTCTAATTCTTTGTCTTCAGGAAGACAAGAATCCTTATGAAGGAGGTTCTTTGTTTTCTTTCAGTCACAAATGATAGAAACCCAACTCAGCCCAGCTTAGGCAAAATGGAATATGCCTGACACATGGGATCCAATGTAGGGCTGGAAAGAGCTGGGTACAGCAAGGTCTCAGAACCCTTCATACCAGGGCACTCTTGACCAATCGCTGCCTTTCTCTGGGGTTTCAATTACACAAAACAACTCCTTCTTCAGATATTCTACTTCTCGAAGCGCCTGACCACAAATGTGTAGTTTCCACACTGACAAAGGACTCTCTCTAATCCCCTAAAGCCCAAGTCCTTGAGAAGGACTGTGATTGCCCTAACATGGGGTTTGGGGCATTTTTAGTAGAAGAGGAAGTTCTGTCCCTAAAAGAGAGGGTTATTGTTGTTGTTAGGTGCTGTCGAGTTGAGTACAACTAATAGTAACCCAGTGAACAACAGATCTGAACTTGTCCTTTCCTGTACTTCCTCACAGTCTCTGACACTCAAGTCCATTGCTGTAGTCACTATGTCAATCCACCTTGTTAATGGTCTTCCTCTCCTTCACTGCCCCTCCAACCTTCCCAAGCATGATATCCCCCTCCAAGGAACAACCTCTCCTAAGAAACATGCCCAAAGTATGTGAGACTAAGCTTTATCATCTGGCATAGGATTTAGTATTTTTGACTAAAGTCCTTTTGTAAGATGTTCAATTACAAATAAACAAACAAAAAACAAAACAGAAAAAGTCCCCAAACAAAAACTTTACCATCTTTGCCTCCATGGAGCACCCTGGCTACACCTTCTCTTAAGACATGTCTGTTTGTTCTTTTGGCAGTCCATGAGACATTCAGTATTCCTTCAACACCACAGTTCAAATGCATCAATTCTTCTGTCATCCTTATTCATTGTTAAGCTTTCAGATGCATAGGTGTTTTGTTTTTTGGTGTTTTTTCTTCTTCTTTACCATCGAATTGGATCCAACTAGCAGAGAAAAGATTGCCTTCCTTCTCCAGTGGAGCATCTCATGGATTCGAACCATATACCTTCCGGATTGCAGTGCAGCTTCTTGCCACTAGACCACCAGAGCTCCGTTTCTCAGATGCATAGGAAGTAATTGAAAAGACCATGGTCTAAGTCAGGCATACCTTAGTCTTCAGACTGACATCATTGCTCCTCAAAAGAGGAATGGATAGGCAAATTATTATCTACCCTGTATAATTGAGTGACTGGTGTATGTGGATAGTTCCTAAGAGCATCACATAATAATTCATGGAACAAATCCAAGAAAGCCTGTGGGGGAATGTAGAATTTGCACTAGACTTTAAAAGTGAGGAAGGATTTGAAGAACTACATAAAAGAAGAGAAATAAAAGTTTTTTGACCAAGACATTGCCATGGATAGATGCAGAGAAGCTATGGAGCTCATGAACCAGCTGGGTAAGGCCCCTACTCAAGCACTAAAGTCTTTTTCCAATGCTATACCTGCATCCCATCACACCCCATCACAGTTTGGACTGGGGTTCAGGGTTATATTTGCCCTTTTTCTAACTTGACAGCTTCTCTATCTAGATGAAACACAAATCTAAGAAGACCCTTAGGTCCACTCCCACTCCCAATTTCTGAATACCTCTGAAGCAACAGTATCACTGATCTCATTTCAGAGTCACCTCACACTCCAGTCCCAGACACTATCAGAACAGAGTGCTTCAAATCCAATACTGTCACGCCCAATACACATTTCCTTCTGTATTATCCATTGGTTAATCCACTATATTACCCTCTCATCATTAGTCAAAGGACTGAGTCTGCGTCCATTGTTTGATAGCTGCCTCTCCCTGCTGCTGCGACCATTGTATCCTGAAGGACACACTTAAATCCAAGTCCACATAGCTTCCTGTGTATGGCAAGACTTACTATCCGTAGCTTGAATAGATTAATGGATCTGTGAGGGATGTCTTCTTAACTCATCCACTTTTAACCCATAAGGCTAGAGCCCTTAACATTGTGGGCTCCTTGAGAAAAATCACTTGCTTCTCTTCCACCGATACACTTGTGCCCTAACCTGCTGTTACTCTACCTGTCCCAGGAGTGCTGTTACTTGGACAGCTTACTAGTATTTAGTGATAGGCTACTCGAGAGCCTCCCAGAAATCTGACTTCAGGAACCCAAGTGAAGATCTGCGGGCCTTCTTCCTCGTTTTCTCAGCACACCAGATGCCCCTAGTCTTGTGCCCTTCTGAGCCTAGCAACTCTCAGGGGCACATGTTCTCCCCATCTCACTGTTCATTGTGGTGCCTATGTGTCCAATGTCCTGTCTCCCCTCCACACACATACACATACACCCCCACACACTTCAGTTCCTGGCTCTGGACAGTGCTGGTGCGCAACTGCAGCAACAGCATGTGTGTCTGCTGCTGGTGAATTTTCCCAGGATGAGTCTGCTTCCTCCCTTAACCCATGTCTCATTCCTCTTTATTTTTTCTCTCTCAGATTCTGGTTTCCTGATTTTCCTCCACTGCACATATTTTCCTGACATTCCTTATTTGATTCT